CCAAGACTGTCATTCTTCATGGGAGACTGAAACGGAGGGGAGCCCCAACACCTCCACAGAGGCAGGCTGTGTGCCCAGATTCCTCCTTGACCACTGGCTGGCTCTGTCCACCTGGCAGCAGGCATCGCACTGGGGAGGCACTCCTGGCCCCCCTCCCTCACCACACCATGAGCTAGTATTGACAGGCCCCCTCCCCACCACCTCCCCTTGTACAGGCAGCAAAGTCCCAGGCTGACGGGGAGCAGGCAGCAGGGGGCTGCTCCACTGATGGCTCTGGTGGGCAGCCTGCCCGCCTTGTCCTCGGCCTCGGGGTCTTCACTCAAAGCCGAGCCTCCTGGGCAGTCCTTTCCTCAGGTCACCCCATGCCCCTGGTGACCCCTTCAGTGCAGCTGCGGGTAGGGTGCCAGAAGTTGCTGGGGAGAGGGCAACCTGGGGCCCAGTCACCGCCTCCCCTGCTGGCACCATCAGACAACCTGTGTCCCTGCCCGGTGCCCAGCTGGTACCCTGTGGGCCTCTGCCAGGTGTCCAGCTGGTGAGAGGGCAGCTGTTGGCCTGGCAGAACCAGTCATCATGGGTGCTTGAGGGCCTTTGGGCCACTGGGCCCTCTGTGGGTGCCCGGATGTGGGGGGCAGAGGTGGGCTGAGACACACACTGCTGCCGAGAGAGGACCGCTGACTCCACTTGCTCTTGTTAAAGACCCCGAAGAGGTGCTGCCTGTTTCCCCAGCCTGAGACCAGCTGTTTCCAAACTCCACTGTGACCACACTGAGCATGTCTGTCCCTCGTGGGCAGCCCAGCTCGGACTGGGCTCTCACTCCACTGGGGGCTCTGGGTCTCCACTGAAGACGTCATGCCACACGGGTCCTGCATCTGTCTGGGGCCCGACAAGAGTGAGCGTCCAACCAGGCCCCAGCTTGCATGAGACTCATTTCTTTCAGGGCTGAAGGGGCAGAGGGACCACATCTTGAGAGTCCGAGCACCGCCGACCTCCTGGTGACCGTGTGCTGTGCTGCTGTGAGCAGGCACAGTGCCCTGGTGTTCTCGGCGGCCCTGCCTTCCCTTGCCTGGGGACTGCTGTGTGACGGGGCAGCCCTTCCCTCTAGAGCAGCGGTTCTCAACCTTCCTCACGCCGCTACCCTTTCACACAGGTCCCCATGTTGTGGTGAGCCCAACCAGAAAACTATTTTCGTTGCTACTTCATCCCTGTGATTTTACTACTGTTGTGAATCGTAATGTAAATGTAAATCGTAATGTAAAGATCTGATATGCAGGATGTATTTTCATTGTTACAAATTGAACATAATTAAACATAATTCAAGCATAGTGATTAATTACAAAACAATATGTAAAATTATATATTGTGAAATAGTTATGTTTTCCGATGGTCTTAGGTGACCCCTGTGAAAGGGTCGTTTGACCCCCGAAGGAATCGCGTGGATGGCAGTGGGGTTTGTCTTTCGGCAGACCATGCCTAAGGACACAAAGGGTGTAACTTGGTTCAGACCCTCTGCTAAGGTCCAGACTTAACCCCACTCTGTCCTGTGCACCAGCGGAGCAGAGGTCACTCTCCGAGACGGGGTCATGCTGCAGGCCGGACAGCTGGCAGGGCTGAATTAAGTGACTCAGTCCATCCCAGGAGCGGAAGACGCTTTCAATGAAAAGCAGAATTCCAGCCAGCATGGCCCTCGGAAGCGATGGTGGCGAGACTCTGTCTCCTGCACGCTGGACGTGTGGTCAGGAGAGACCAGCCTCTGGGGAAGGACATCATGCTTGGTAGGGGGTCAGCAAGGAAGGAAGCCCCTCAGGAGGTGGATGGACACAGTGGTTGCAGCCATGGCCAACAACATCACGCCTGCGTGGGTGACACAGGGCCAGGCAGTGTTTTCTTCTGTCTGACACAGGGTCACTATGCAAGGGGGTGCTCTACGTCCTGGTCAGCTGCTCCTACCGTCATTTTATGATGAGGACACTGGACCATGGCCCAGGACCACGATCAGCCACTGCCTGCTCCTGGGTGCTGACAGCCCGCGTGGCTTGAGTTAGGGACCCTCGTCAGCAGAAGCCTGGGCTGGGGTGAGCGGTACGGGGTGAGCCCCCGCCTCCCTCAGACTGAACCAGCTGCTGACTGCCTTGCCTCCGTGTGACAGTCAGGTGTGCCGCCTGCCCCTACTGCCCACTGACACTCAGCACACACGGTCAGTATACACGCCCCTCCTGGGCCATTGGCCCAGCACACCTTCTACGACACACAGCCTGCCATCTGCCGGGGGACAGAGCTGCTGCCTCCTCTACTTCCCCCAACACTTCCCTCAGGACCATCACAGGCAGCCTGAGCTAGCCGACCGACCACCACGCCGTGGGCCCCAACAGAGACTTGTGTAAAAGGGTGCCTTCAGGGGAGGGTGCTGGACCGACCAAATGCCTCGATTCCATCAAAGGCTCAATGGCTGATGGGTCGGCGCCCACAGACCTGGGCCTTACCCCGCCTTCTGCTCAGGAAACCCAGCCGGGCAGCCTGGGCTCTGATCCCAAGGGATGGAATGCCCCAGGGAGGCTGGGGACCCCGACAAGCATAGCCATCTTGAGAGGCAAGCCAGGCTGAGCCCTCCTTCATCCAGTTCTGTTCTCATGAGGCCAGGCTGGGTCTCAGAGAAAGCTCTGGGTCAGAATGTCCGACCCGGCCACCTACTGTCTTGTCTCCCAGCCCACCCTGGCTGGGGGCCGCAAACCAAACCAAACCCACAACCAGGGAGTCAAATCCGACTCAAAACACCGCTGCAAAGGGTTCCCGAGACTTACTATTTATGGGAGCCCAGAGCCTCACCTTCCTCCCTTGGGGCAACTGGTGGGTTGAACCGTGGGCCTTGCCGCTCAACTTCTCAACTCAGCTCCCTGCATCGGGTCCATTCTGACCCTCAGCGACCCTACAGGGCAGGGCAGAACTGCCCCTGTGGGTTTTCCAGATTGGAAGCCCTTCTCTTTCTCGGCTGCAGCGGGCGACGGCTTCAAACTGCTGACCCTCCGGTAAGCAGTCCCCGAGTGACTACTGCTCCACAGGGAGCTGCTAAGACTCAGAGAACGTCCAGCTACTTCAAGCAGCGGTGAGTGCATGTTGCCCAGAAATCTCACGCCCAAACGACCTCACTCTGGACACACCTGTGTGAGCAGTGCCGGGGATGATGCTCACAGCCCGGGAGGGAGGTTTGGGGGTGGGGCTGGCCTCAGGGGGAGGGGTGAGACCCTTTGGTTTGGAAAGCAGGGCTCTTTTGATTGGCTGGAGTCCTGCAACCCCCCAGGAGACAGCAGAGAGGGGCACCCAGCTCGGTTTAGCCAGACATCTGTTTAAAACCCAGGAGTCGTACCCCATCCCCCTGTCACTACCCACATGGGGACAGTGGTGGCTGAGGGGTAGGTGCCACATGCCCCATAAGGATGCCTTTTCCCAATTCACGGAGCGGGGCATCGAGACCCCCAGCAGACCTGTTCCAGAGGTCGGGGTCCCTGCCACCAGGGGGCCGAGTCTCAGAATAACGGAAGCTGCTCCTCCAGCGTTCCGAGAGGCCCCGGGGGCGCCCAGTGACGCTCAGCCAGTGTTGGGTGTGCAGGGTGAGACAGGGATGGGTGGGCCAGCCTCAGACGATGCTCACTGAGTGGGCGAGTGACCAAGATGCTACTAGGTCCCCCTGGGGTCACGGCTTCGAGCCACAAGGCCCAGGTAGACGGTGGCATTGGGTGTGATCAAGAGGGGCTACAAAGCCAAGGCTTCAGAAAGAAGGGGCAGGGCTGGGCTGCCCATCCCCCAGTAGTGTGACAGCAGAAGGCCACCCCCCTCACCCCAGCAGAGAGGAACAGGGACCCATTAGGAGAGGCTGCTGCCTCTATGATTTCCCCCTCAACTTTGGCTGGGTGGAGTCCTGGGTCAGGTCCACTGGAGACCGGGTGACGGAGGCAGGCATGGCTCTCAGCAGGGTGGACCTCCTGAGAGCCTACTTTCCCTCCACTGCTAGAGAGGGGGAACCTCCACTGGGGGACCCTGCAGCCCCAGCCCCTAAGCACTGCCTCAGGTCCTATGTGGGACCCTGTGGTGCCAGCTCCCGCCCTGGTGCAGCCAAGCCTGCCACGTCAGTCCTTGTCACCCTGGGGCTCACAATCACAGTTGGGGTTCTTCCTGTCCAGGCTGCAGGGACCTGGAGCCTGGCCCTTCCTCCTGCTCAGCCATGTGCAGACCCTGCCCAGCCCCTCCCTCTTCCCACCCTGAGATGGAAGCCCCTGCGCCCATGGCCACCCATACCTCAGAGCCGAAGTGCCAGTGAGTGTCCCTTCTGCCCTGACGTGCCTGGCCTGGGCATCTTGGTGCTGGCAGCTCTCTGCCTGGTGAGCCTGAGGTGTCTGGCCCCCTGCCCTGGGCTGTGGTGGCTCTGTGCTCAGACCCTCAGATGCCCTATGTCCCTCATATCCGGCTTCGGCCTCACCCGCTTCCAGCAGTTTCGTCACCACCACCATCACCATCACCACCAACACCACTACCACCACGGGTGGGGGGGAGGGAAGGGGAGATGTTTGGGCACCTTCTGCATGCCAGGGACCACTCCACCGCCATGCTCTCCCGCCACAGCGGCTGTGTGACGACCTCACCTTACCAGTGGGGAAACTGAGGCCCAGGATGGCATCAGGTCCTACTCCGGCTCCCAGGCCTGCCCAGTCACAGTGGGTGGGGTCATCTGGGAGGCTCGGCTGCAGAGGACAGGGCACTAAGCCACTGAGAAGCTGTGGACAGGGGTGGCCAAGGGGCCCCCTCATGGGAGGAGGTGGCAACAGGGTGGGGGACCCAGTAGCTGTTGGGGGACAGGTAGGGGAGGAGAGAGGTGGGCCTGGGGTCGGTCCACTTGCTGTCTGCCCAGTAGTAAAACTCTTCACCCCCCACTCCTCCCTCAGACCTAAATCGGGTGTTAGGGGGAGGGGCAGGGCGGCACTGAACGCCCACACGCCCAGGCTGCTCACCTGGATGACTGCTTTGATGGTGGTGGGGTCCACCACAGGGGTGCACACCAGGCCGCCAGGGTGCTGGCCGTCTGCGCTACGGTTCTGCTGGCCCATGGCGAACAGCATGGGCACAGCCAGCAGCGCGGAGGCCAACCAGACGGCGCTGATGAGCTTCTTGGTGCGGCTGCGGGACATGAGGGTCTTGGCCTTGAAGGGGTGGCAGATGGCCAGATAGCGCTCCACGCTGAGGCTGGCCACGTTGAGGGCCGTGGCGTAGGTGCAGGCATCACGCAGGAAGTAGTAGCCGCGGCAGACGGCGTCCCCGAAGGCCCAGGGGTGGTGGACCCAGATGAAGTTGTACAGCTCCACCGGCATGGCCAGCAGCAGGGTGAGCAGGTCGGACAGCGCCAGGCTGCCCAGGTGGTAGTGCACCGTGCTCTGCAGGTTCTGCAGCGGCTTCCGGCGCGCCAGCGTGAACGCCGTCACCGCGTTGCCCACCGTGCCCACCACGAAGAGCGCCAGGTACACGGCCGTCACCAGCACTTTGGAGTAAATGTCCGTGTTCACGTCCAGGTCGCTGCTGGGCGCCGCCGGGGCGCGCTCCGTCGTGTTGCCCGAGCTGTTCTCGGCGCCCAGGGCCAGGAGCGCA